AGATGATCAAATGAAAAGAAGAAGCAAAAAAGTTGACAGTTTAACTTGGGAAAACAATTGATACAGTTAATCAACTGTAAGAGTAAATTAATTAACAATTGAATGTAATTAGTATTCACAATGAAATAGCTTCAAGTTGTAAAAATGTTTCTTTTCACTTTCAAATGATTAGTTTAACTTTTAAATCTTAAATAATCAACAATTAGCAATGTTGATTGATTGATGATAATTATTGTTTCTCTCTCTCTCTCTCTCTCTCTTCAAAGTTAATCAATCAAGTCAATCACAATTAAGTTAATTGCCAAAGCTGAAAGGATGGGGAAAAAAACTTCCACTCTTAATTGTATCAATGTGGTTTTTTTTTCTTGCGGTAGAAATGAAGTTGATTAATTTTCCCACCCCACTCACTCTGATAATACTTCAATCATGATTAGTGATTAAATTAAATCAATTTGATGATTTGATTTGAGATGGTAAAAGATAATTGTTTTTATCCTTGATTAGTTTTTTTTGTTCATTACGTTTCTCAAGTCCGGATGATTAAGTTTGATTGTCAAGTTTATCTTATTAGTGGTCAAGGTGATGAAAATTAATACAATTTAAGGCAAAACTCAACAAGATAAACAATCAACAAACCATTGTAATAGTTAAAAGGTAAAGTTAATCAACGGAGTGAAAAAAATTCTGCTTCAATTATCTAATCATCATTATCATGAATGTGACTTGTTTTTTTTTAAAGAAAAACTCATTCTGATTGTTGCTTAGCATCCTCATCACTTTTACCTCTCATCATCTCCACCCTGTTAACAACCTTTAATCGTCATCTAGTTTGCGTGAATGCGTGTATAACATTGATAATAGATTAGGTTAATAGGTCAAAAGGGGTAGAGGTCATAAAGGTAAAATAAACAAACATGCAATTATTTCATCTCATCATTTGATCAGAAATGATGATGATGATGATGACAAGTAGAGGGTTCGAGTTGAGAGAGTGGGTGGTTGATTGAGTAGGATGTAATGTCCAGTGATGAACATTATCCTTGAAAAATATCATCTGCTCATCATCTAATCATCTTACACATTCACTATTTTCAATCAATGTTAATCCAATTTATGGTCAACAATCAGTTTTAATCAATCGTTAAAACATTAATTTGATCAATCATCCTAATCATCATCATCCTCATCCTCATCATGCACATAAACATTATGCTGATATGAAATCAAGTAATCATCGAGAGGAAATCATGTAATCATCAAATTGTCATCTTAATCATCATCATCCTAATCACAATCAACCTAATTCCATCTTCTCATCCACAACATTTTCCCTCCCCTCTAATATATATACTAGTATGTGTCTGTATATTATTATTATTCATCTTTTCCGGTTCCGGTTTTATTGAGTTCGTTTTTCCATCTTTGTTTTTTTTCTGGATTCATCTTTACTTCAGATTCATTCTGATAATGATTATCACGATAAAGATAATGATTGTTATTACAACTCTTTTGGTTCGTTGTTAATTAATACAAATTAATTAATTACTTTACCATTAATCAATTTTCATCATTTTGTAAATACAATAAGATAATATTAATATAAAAAAAACAGAGGAAAACAATAATTTCCTAATATCTTTTCATGATGATGATCATTATCATGAACAATATGCTTTACTTATGTTCAACTCTGATGATGATAATTAATCAAACTCACCATGGGGTAGTTAACAAGAAATTCAATTTGTAGATTAACATTGTATCCAAATTGAGGATAATTGTTTACATGAAATTGGATTAAAATTGATCATCATCAGGATGAAATGATAAACCTCCTGAATCAGTCATGAATTATTTAATCTCATATCGTTTGGATAATAATTTTTCCTCCTGAATCAATTTAAATGTTTGAAGTGAACAAAAAAAGTTCATGATAACCAATCCTGGTAACACACAGAATTACCCTCAGCAACTTTATAAGCAATAAGGTGAGAATGATAGATGAAAATTCATGATAATATGAGTCACATTTTCATCATCTTTTTGCCTGAATATATTAGTTTGGAACTTTTTTTATTCTCTTTTTTTTCAGCTCAAAGTTTTTTCGTTTTTTCTATGAGATTTTTTTTCCTTCTCTGAATTCGGTGGTTATATGTTTCTGTGTGTGCTCATGTTTCGTCGTGCTAGAGCTTTGTTTCCTCTCTTTATTGTTCATTGATGGAGAATGAGAAGAGAAAAAAGTTCGATAAAAAAGTTTTCTTTTCTTTTCTTCTGAATGGAGATTTTTTTCTCGTTCCGATTTCAGGGTTTACCTCATGATGATGTTAAGATTATTGCTGATGATTTGATGAAGCTTAACAACAATTAGCTTACAATGGGAGGTAAAGAGAGAGAGGAATAAGATAAAAACTGAAATTCTATTTATTTTTTCTTCTTTTCCTTGTCAACATTTTAACTCTTTCAACCATGATACATCCTTTCCGTTTCCTTGTCTCTTCATCTTTTACCGTATGAATGAGGTTGGAGTGGATTGATAACTTTTCTTTTCTATACTTTCACCACCGATAATTAACCAGGTAAACTCAATATGAGCAGAGATAAATGTGATCTTTCATGTGGAAGAGAAAAAAAATTCTTTAAATTCAGAAAATTGAGCAATCAATGATTCGTTTAACCGATCGTCATCATCATGGGTCACCATAACTCATCATTCCTTTGAGATGAACAAAATGATAATAGTTCTGAATAATGATGGTCAATATAAACTTTCGAGCTTTTTTTTCTGCAAAATCAGAATTTTTTTTTCTTCTACATGATCTGAATCGTTCATTTCAATGATCTTTCCATCAACAGGTACAACATGATATCAGGATAAACATGTAGATATGAATGATTTATTATTCCCTCTAGAAGATCAGATGTATGTTTATATCGATGCAACTTAAAATTTTCATGTTAAATGCGAAAAAAATTCATGTTGAAATTACATGAAATGGGAATAACAATTCCAAGTCATTTAAGGTTAACTTTGTGTTCTTACCACTGTCTTTCTACATACAAGACAATAAATTTATTGCTATCTGAATATTATCATGAATTTTATCATGAAAAATTGCTTCGAGAAAAATATTTGTAAAAACCCTGAGAAACTTATACTTACAATGAATAACATGAAATTCATAAGCAATAATAATAAGATGATAAAGATAATATTGTTGAAATTTATGAGATTCTAACCTCAGAATTCAAGGTTCGTTCCATGATATATATTCTGACAGAGAGAAACAGAAAGAAGGGGGAAGAAAAGTTCTGATAACTTTTTCAAAATGTGACTCGAAACCGATACAATTGGCTAACATGAACATGTTAGTTATCAATATTTATCATGAAAGTAATAAAATTATAACAAATGGATGGTATTTATTACCCTGAATATGTATCATGAATGTTGAAACAATTGTTGAACAAAGTGTTGGAATTACGTGAATATAATAACATTTATGAAAAGTTTTCAATTTTATTTCGTTGGGAATTTTTTCCAGTCTCAAAAATGAATGAATTTCAATAATTATCGGTTGAACTTTCCATGTATTTACATTAAGAAATTGTGTTTAATTTTTTCTTTCCACCATGAAAATCTCAATGCTCATGTACCAGATTTTGCTCCGTTTCTTGTCAAAGATATAAAAATAATTTATTATGATATTTTTAGTGTTATTTGTTAGTAGTTTCGTTCAAAATTTCCATAGGTGATCGTAGTTACCATTTTTTATGAATGAGACTCGAAGAGTGAAACAAAATTTATATATACAAAGAAAATGGAGTAAAATTTGGCAACATTTTCATGTCTATTATGTTACAATCACCATAATCATATTTATTCTTGTAAATATAATCTATTCGTAATGATAAAGAATCAACAAATTAGGATATTATCATATTCAGAATTTTTTTTGGCTAATGTGCCACAAACATGAGAAATTAAGTATCAATCAAAAGATCATGTCAAGTCAAGTTCTACCTCAAGATGAACAGGATAGAGAAAGAATAAGAATTATCTTGAAATAGTGTTTTTTATAACTTGGAACATCTCAAAATCTGATGAAAATTGAGTATCAAGTTAACGATGGATCGAGATAACTGTAAATCGATCACTATTTAACCGAATTGAATTTTGTTCTGATTTTTTATCCAAGAAAAAAAGTTCCTCTGAACTGACAGCAACAACCTATTACTTGAAAGAAAAAAATTGCGCCAAATTAGACGGTTAATTAGCTTTAGATGAATTCAACAATTAACTCTTAGTGTTTTGATTTACTTATTATTTAGCTTCGTAATTATCAATGGAAGATCAATGTTAATTAGTCTAACTAATTATTGAATTAATTTGGGATAAACTTATTGTTTTGCCTCAATTGTCATTCTGATTTATCAAATTGGATGGTTAATCATGATAATAATCGTGTTTAAAATTCAACCAGAAAATCCTATCAAACTAATTAACTAACTAATTAAGTCTAAATCACAATTAGTATCTGATTACAATCAACTCTAGTCTCAACTAATTAATTGGAATTTTGTTCCAAAAAAAAAACTAACCATTTAATGTCCAATTTTAATATGTAACTTGATTCTCATAATACAGAATAAGATAATTCTTGAATCACTGATATCTTATTCAACGGAAATAAAAACCACTCTAATTGTTACCATGAAACGCTCTACAATTAACTAATTGTGATGGTTAAATATTGTCAATATAAGTTATTAGTTGCTGGATGTTTATTTTTGAACATTTTTTTCAATCACCTGAGAGGGAACATGAAATCATAATGGAAACGAGCAAAATTTGAAATTTTGTCCCTCATTTTGTTTTCTTAATCAAGATCAACGAAAACGAAACAATTAAAGTAATAATTGTATTGAAAATAATCCTATCATTTAATTGATAATCTAATATTTCAACCATTTAAATATCACAATAATTTTAATTAACTTACCACTTAATTGTTGAAATGATATTGCTGTTGATTCAAGTTGATTAATTAGTGTTGATGTTACAATGATTAAGAAAATCATTTTAATTGATCAAAAATCATAGTCAAAGACATTGTATTATTATTAATATTGATGAGAGGATGATGATGATGGCGATGATCAGGATGATGATAAAATAATAGTAAAACTAATTGGTGAACAATTAAAAATATAAATTGTAATCCAAATCAATCAATGAATAAAATCCTTCTTGGTTAGTTAATTAATCACTTTCATCTAATTGGAAAGTTGAAGTTGTTTTTTTTCTTTGAAATTAAATCACCACAATCACTTTGTTTACCAATCTACTCTCATGGTAATGGATTATAACGGTAAATGGTCAAAGTTTAACAGAATTAACAAATTGACAACAATTTAGAGATGACAATTTAATCCTTGTATCTACAATTAACTAATACAAAATTAAATGGATAAAAAGATGAAAATTTTTACAGTTATTATTAACTCGTTGAAATTTACTTGGAACTAAACTTGTAACTTCATCATTATCAATCTTACAAACTTTTAGCATCCTTAGCATATACTAATAGTATTTGTCTTTTTTTCTCTCTCTCTCTCTCTCTCTCTCTCTCTCTCTCTCTCTCTCTCTCTCTCTCTCTCTCTCTCTCTCTCTCTCTCTCTCTCTCTCTCTCTCTCTCTCTCTCTCTCTCTCTCTCTCTCTCTCTCTCTCTCTCTCTCTCTCTCTCTCTCTCTCTCTCTCTCTCTCTCTCTCTCTCTCTCTCTCTCTCTCTCTCTCTCTCTCTCTCTCTCTCTCTCTCTCTCTCTCTCTCTCTCTCTCTCTCTCTCTCTCTCTCTCTCTCTCTCTCTCTCTCTCTCTCTCTCTCTCTCTCTCTCTCTCTCTCTCTCTCTCTCTCTCTCTCTCTCTCTCTCTCTCTCTCTCTCTCTCTCTCTCTCTCTCTCTCTCTCTCTCTCTCTCTCTCTCTCTCTCTCTCTCTCTCTCTCTCTCTCTCTCTCTCTCTCTCTCTCTCTCTCTCTCTCTCTCTCTCTCTCTCTCTCTCTCTCTCTCTCTCTCTCTCTCTCTCTCTCTCTCTCTCTCTCTCTCTCTCTCTCTCTCTCTCTCTCTCTCTCTCTCTCTCTCTCTCTCTCTCTCTCTCTCTCTCTCTCTCTCTCTCTCTCTCTCTCTCTCTCTCTCTCTCTCTCTCTCTCTCTCTCTCTCTCTCTCTCTCTCTCTCTCTCTCTCTCTCTCTCTCTCTCTCTCTCTCTCTCTCTCTCTCTCTCTCTCTCTCTCTCTCTCTCTCTCTCTCTCTCTCTCTCTCTCTCTCTCTCTCTCTCTCTCTCTCTCTCTCTCTCTCTCTCTCTCTCTCTCTCTCTCTCTCTCTCTCTCTCTCTCTCTCTCTCTCTCTCTCTCTCTCTCTCTCTCTCTCTCTCTCTCTCTCTCTCTCTCTCTCTCTCTCTCTCTCTCTCTCTCTCTCTCTCTCTCTCTCTCTCTCTCTCTCTCTCTCTCTCTCTCTCTCTCTCTCTCTCTCTCTCTCTCTCTCTCTCTCTCTCTCTCTCTCTCTCTCTCTCTCTCTCTCTCTCTCTCTCTCTCTCTCTCTCTCTCTCTCTCTCTCTCTCTCTCTCTCTCTCTCTCTCTCTCTCTCTCTCTCTCTCTCTCTCTCTCTCTCTCTCTCTCTCTCTCTCTCTCTCTCTCTCTCTCTCTCTCTCTCTCTCTCTCTCTCTCTCTCTCTCTCTCTCTCTCTCTCTCTCTCTCTCTCTCTCTCTCTCTCTCTCTCTCTCTCTCTCTCTCTCTCTCTCTCTCTCTCTCTCTCTCTCTCTCTCTCTCTCTCTCTCTCTCTCTCTCTCTCTCTCTCTCTCTCTCTCTCTCTCTCTCTCTCTCTCTCTCTCTCTCTCTCTCTCTCTCTCTCTCTCTCTCTCTCTCTCTCTCTCTCTCTCTCTCTCTCTCTCTCTCTCTCTCTCTCTCTCTCTCTCTCTCTCTCTCTCTCTCTCTCTCTCTCTCTCTCTCTCTCTCTCTCTCTCTCTCTCTCTCTCTCTCTCTCTCTCTCTCTCTCTCTCTCTCTCTCTCTCTCTCTCTCTCTCTCTCTCTCTCTCTCTCTCTCTCTCTCTCTCTCTCTCTCTCTCTCTCTCTCTCTCTCTCTCTCTCTCTCTCTCTCTCTCTCTCTCTCTCTCTCTCTCTCTCTCTCTCTCTCTCTCTCTCTCTCTCTCTCTCTCTCTCTCTCTCTCTCTCTCTCTCTCTCTCTCTCTCTCTCTCTCTCTCTCTCTCTCTCTCTCTCTCTCTCTCTCTCTCTCTCTCTCTCTCTCTCTCTCTCTCTCTCTCTCTCTCTCTCTCTCTCTCTCTCTCTCTCTCTCTCTCTCTCTCTCTCTCTCTCTCTCTCATCATCCTGATCATCGCCATCATCATCATCCTCTCATCAATATTAATAATAATACAATGTCTTTGACTATGATTTTTGATCAATTTAAAATGATTTTCTTAATCATTGTAACATCAACACTAATTAATCAACTTGAATCAACAGCAATATCATTTCAACAATTAAGTGGTAAGTTAATTAAAATTGTGAAATTTTGTTGTAAGCAAATTGCTGGAATCATGATAATCAACAATTGACTTCTCAATCTTTTTTGTATCGATAATATTTAAAAGGAAATTAAATTGTTACCAATTATTAATTTAATTATTAGACATCAACAAGTTAATGAGTTAATGGTGAAAAGCTTTAAGGTTAATTTAATTTAATTTAATTCTCATTTCTGATTCTAACCTAATTCGTTGATTCAACACCACCAATAACAATCAAAAATCATAATTTGATTTATGATTAAGTTGATTTGATCAACAATAAGCTTCTTCTTGTTGATTAAATCAATTTTAATCTGATCATTTAAAGTTTACTCCATCAGCAATTTGATCAATATATTAATTTGCTGAGATTAACAATTTAACTCACTTCAAGTTTAATCATGATTTTTAAATTGTTACTACGAAAATGAAAGAATGAGTGTTAATGTGTGAAAAAAAACTTAATCAACAATCAACACACAATCAGTTGATTAATCTGATTGATTTAAGCAGACTCATGATGATTAGCTGATCTCTTAATTGTTTAACTGATTTGATATGATTTAATTCTGATTAATTAACTAACTTCTTGATATGTTTTCTGTTGTCAAGGTTATGGCAAAATCCCAACAATTAACTTTCAACAATCACTGTTAGTTTATTTTTAGTATAGCCCAATAATCGTGATGATTAATTTACAGTTTTGTAGTTAATTGAATATTGAACAATAATTATCATCATTTTTATGATGTAGACATGATAAATTTGATGAACAAATGATTAAGATGATAATCATTTAATCTTATATTCTTAATCATCATTTAAAATGATTTGATAAGCAAAATCCACTGATTAGTTGATGAGTTTTATTAGTTTATTAAAACAACAACAATCAACTAATCATCATCACTTTTGTTGTGATAAGTTTGCCTTTTTTGGTGATCAAATGAGAGCAAAATTGTTGTTGATTGTAATCAATTAATAACGATAATCATTTCATTGTTGATCATAATCAACTGATCGTTGTGATTACCTTTGATTGATCGAAGTGATTTATCTAATTGTTTCTTTAATTGTTCCTGTTTTGGCGTTGAATTGTGTGAGAATTGATGAAGGAAGAGCTCAGGAATTAAATTTTTAGTTAATTAGAGAGGGAAAAGAATTTTCAATACTTTTCGTTCAATGGGACAATTAGTTAATTGTCTACAATTTTTCGATAAAAAATTTGAGGTTTAATCATCTCTTAATTGTGAGAATCAAGTTACATATTCATATTGGACTTTAAATACTCAGTTTTTTTGGAAAAAAGTTGTGATTTATTAGCAAAGACAAGAATTGATTGTAAGCAGATACTTAATTGCGATTCAAACTTAATTAGTTAGCTAAATAGTTTGATTAGATTTTGGGTTAAATTTTAAGCGTGATGATTAACAACCTACTAAATTAAAATATGATGATAATTAAACGCAATGATAATGAAGAGGAAACAATGAGTTTATTTACAAAAATTAACTAATTGTAAACAATTTGGGTTACAATCAATTGACTGTTCAATTTTGATTCATAAACAAATCGTTAATCATTACCACTAATTGGTTAATTGTTAGATCATCTTTAAATTGTTTAAAGTTGGTCTAGGTTATTCAACTTCCGTTCAATTTAAATTGATTCATTAATTAACATGATTAATATACTAAGACAAAATTTGATTATCTGATTTATTAGATTCAAGGAAACATCAATTAACAAGTATTAAGATATTCACTAGAAGTTGATTGTTGATTATTAAAATGTCAACAATTAAAAAATTAAACGATTGAAATAATTAATATCAAGGTTAAATTATCGTTGATACAGAAAAAAATCCGACTAATCAAAAATCAATCAATCACTTTGAATGAATCTCAAGCTAACAACTGATGATAAATCAGAATTAATTGTAACAATTAATCTCTAATTTTGACTACAAATCATTAAAGAAAACATATAAGTACAGTCTAATCAATGGACAATTTATTTTACTTTCTATCAGATCATATTATTGATAAACGAGCTGCCGATTACCATGACTGGACTTATGAAGGTAAGGTGACCATTCATGATTAGTTTTAATTGTTTAACTGATATTTTGTTTTCTCAATTTTTCCCCGTTAATTTTAATCAGATCAAAAGGCATGGGTAACAAATATAACTCATTGTGGAGGTGATAAACAATCACCGATCAACCTTGATTCGTCCAAGGCTCGAGTTGATAAAACGCTAACCTTGGACATTAAGAAGTACGATCGTTTGATTGATACAGCGTTCGTCTATTCAACTGGACATAGTTGTAAGTTTTAGTCATTCGAAAGATAGATCGAAAAAGAAAAAGTTCTAAGGCTATGAAAATAATCGATAATACATATGAATGAAAGGTGTAGAATATTTTCTTCGAACAAAACTGTTAGAACTTTTGTTTTTTTTTCAATCGTATTGTTCATAAAGTCGAGAGAGAGAGAGAAAGGTGAAGTTCCTCAAGGATTTTGTTTGTTCAGAGGAGAGAACGAAAAAAAAAATCTCTACGAAAAGTGAGTTTCGTAAGTAGAGTCTGAATTTGTTTCCTTTAAAATATATGATAAATTATTGTAACTGAATTTGGAGGATGCATATTAGTATCTTTTATCATGTATCTCCACCCAGTTGTTATCGTTTATTATTAGCATTCTGGTTCCGGAATCTGAATCTCAATGATTATCAGCAAGAATTTTTTTCTTCCATAGACTATTATTGTGAAAAAGAGGTTAGGTTACGGTGAAAAGAAGATGATTTTTTCTTCACTTATTGCATGGTGTGAATTCAGAATAGTCTAAGAAAAAAATAGAGAGAAATAGATAGAAGATGAGGTTGGAAAAAGAAATCAAGAGAAAATGATGATGATCATCATGAAATATTCTCTCAGTTCCAATGTATTAACTTAGTTACTTTTATTCAGTCAAGTTCATTTCTGTGAGTTAACCTTGAGAAGCTAGAATCCCATGGAAATAATTTGGGTAAAATGCTGAAGATTTGCAAGAAAGAAAAGAGAAAGAGAGAGAAAAGTGGGGAAAAGTTCTGAACATCGTGAATGTTACATGTATTTAGTTGGAATTATTGCTGATTCAAGGTAACTTTTGTTTTCTTTTTTTCATTCTTCATGAGTTTATCTAACTAAATATTCAGTAGAAAATGAGATTTGATTGTTACATGGAAGTTTAATCTCTGGCAAACAAGGAAAAGGTGCAAAAGAAATTCTTCTAGTGAGATACTTTCATTTCCACCATGATGATGAACGAATGAAATAAAAGTTCAGTTAATGGAGAATAACTTTTGGTTTTTATTTTTTTTTTCTCTCTTATAACTTTTTCATTTGATCTAATTTTCTTTCCATGGATGATAAATATTTCGTCATCTTCATCCTCCTAGACTAATCTTTTTATGAGATTAACCTTGATATTCCGTAAAGACTTGGGTGTGTCTCAAATATTATTATGTCTTCATCTTTCATTGTCAATGTGATGAATTCAGTTTGAGTAAAATTTATTCTCCATAAAGTTTTGAACTTCATGATAAGTGACAAGTGGGAAAAGGAAGCAAAATTTTCTTCGAATTAAGGTTAGAACTTTTTTTCGAAATCTTTTTTATTTTGTATTCACTCTTCTACTGAACTTTTTCTGCTCATCATTCGTTTCTCTATGTAGAATAGTTTTACTTTGAATATTTTCCAGTTCATTGAATCAAATCTCTTTTTCTTATTTTTGCATTTTCATGATGAAGGAAAAATCTATTTGGCTGAACATGAACATGATTGATTTCAGATTAGTTAATTCAGTTTGATAATCACTCGTTCAAATTGTAATTAACACAACATTTCACCCACAGAAGTGATCAGATAAATTAACCTTTTGATTAGTGTATTATTCATGGTTCAGTAATGAGAGTTTCCTCCATGAATATGAATGAATCTTTGAGAATATTGAAAGAGAGAGAGAGAGCTCCGAATCGATTTCGACACACCCAAAGTTCTGATCAAGTGTCACCTTAGTAATTATACTTGTTAATGAGATTTATTTCAGGCAAAGTTTAAACAAAAACATGACGATGGTCAAGCTAATGAAAAAGTTACCATGACCTTAAGTTGATCGGAAGTTATGGCTTTGCCTTTTATTTGATTATCATGAGGATTCATAGTGATGATAATGATGATCATTAGAAGATGATATCACTGATTGGAAGAAATTATTTCAATATATCTGTGATTCAGGAAAAAGGAAGATGAAAAATGGAATAGAAAAAAATATTTATTCAGTTTCTTTTCTCTTACTTTTCCTGTTTCCTTTTTCATTTCCTTTCCATTCATTTTCCATCTCTTACTCAGAGCTTTTATCCATGATAAAATTTAATTCTCATCCCACAGATAAAGATATTGATGACGATAATAACGTACAATTTCTGATGGTGCTTCCATCAATCCTCTCAATGTTTATCTATTTATTAATCAGAAAATGATATTGTTTTGATTTTATTCATTCGATTTTTTCTTTCATTCTTTTCGTCTATTCAATCATGTTATCCAGTAAAATTGGAATTCGAGTCAAGAGGAGTATACTTATTATCGGGAACTGTTGTTGATCGTCCTTATGAGCTACTTCAAGTTCATATTCATTGGGGAATCAACTCAATGTCAGGATCAGAACATTCAATTGATGGTGAACGTTTTTCCGCCGAGGTAACAATTAAATTAACAAAATTAAAGTGACTCTGCATCAAAACAAAGCAAACTCAACTTAATCACTTTCAACAAGAGTGACCATTAACTGACCAATTGTATGAAACCTTTAGCGGAAAAACTAATGTTTATTTTAGTTAAGATGAAATTGGTCAATTATCAATTTAATCACTATTATTTTATCATCACAATTAACTCAATTTTCTTTGGAAAACATTATTTTTAGGTTCATTTTGTCCATAGGAATACCAAATATGCTAATGAATCTAGTTACTCAGTTTTGCAGAAAGTTGATGGATTAACTGTTCTCGGTGTAATTGCAAAGGTAAACTGTTTTAACCGAATTAATTGTTTAAATTGTCGATTTAAATTAACCAAGTTAAAAGAAAAAAGTCTAACTGAGTCGCCATCTTATGTGCAAAGTTTAATCTACTCAATTGTGACGAGGGTTAAACAAAATTAATCCAATTTGTTGATCTTTTTGCTAACTAATCCTTTTGTTTTTCTTTATTTCTATTAATCTTCTATCTTCCGGATGATGATGATGATGATGATGATAGAATGGTGATCCTAATCCTGGAGTTGACATCTTATTGGAAGCCATGCAAAGTAATTCGTCAGATATTAAGTATCCAGTGAAAAAACCCTTCGATTTGAATCACCTTTTGCCCTCGAATAAGAAATCGTTTTTCAAATATTCGGGCTCACTGACCACTCCTACATGTAACGAAGTGGTCAACTGGATTGTCATGAAAGATTTCATAACAGTTTCCAATGATCAAGTGAGTAGTTAGATAATGATAAACTTGAAATGAATCCATTCATCAATATTAACATCATATTACAATTAGAATTACTAATTGAAATGAAAAATTTGATCGAAATTATTTTGATAATAAAATTTTATTTTTCTTCTTTTTTTTTCTCTATCAGATTGATAGACTTCGTAATCTTATTTCCCCATCAGAAACTGTAATGCAAACTGTTGTCCGTGACCTTCAACCTCTTCAAGGTCGAACGGTATTCCAAAGCGATTCCGGTTCTGGATTCGCACCAACACTGACCAGTCTCTGTTATCTTATATTAGCAGTGATTGTTCATATCACTTTGATTGATAAATTAAACTTAGACTAGAAAATTGAATAATAATTACAATCAATCTCATCTTCACATTATCATCATCATGTTAAATCATCATAATTAACACCCACCAACACAATCATCAACGATAACATAATGACAAGATGATAACAAGGAAAACGCAAGTTCACATCTTCCCCCCACTTCCGGATAAACAAATCAACTACTTCCTATTTTCTGAAGGTCAACTTATATTATCAATCATGTTAATATATTATCTTACCAGAATCATTTAACATCACAATCAAATTAATCATGATTATAATGATTAGTTGATTTTAAAAGTAATAATAATGAAAACAGTTCAATTTGATTTAATGATTTTATCTAGTCGATGTTAATTGTTTTAACAATCAAAAAAGGAAACAATAATTGGTAAACAATCAACGCAAAGTTTTAATCAAATTTCACAATTAGTTTTTTTTCCTTGTGATAATAAATAAATAATTAATTATAAACACAAATTTTATTAATCAAATGTATAATTTAGCAGCTAATTGTTACTATTAATTGTCTTGTTATCACTTAATTGTGCTCTAATTGTTTATTAGATTGTTAATTGTATACAATATATTAATCACGATTATCAATGGATTTATGTTAATCTGTACAGTTTCAAATCTATTGATTCATAGCAATTAAATTTTATCGTTAATTTAATTTAATTGTTGATTTGATTGTAATGTTTTTTTTTCAAATTGAGTATTTGGTTTAATTGGATAGTTAAACTTGGTGATGATTAACTATCTAAATTTGCATAAAGTGCATCGCAATTAAAAAGGTTAATTAGTTGAAATAGACTGTTAATCATTTGATCAGTTGATCAGCGTTTAAGTAAATTGTTGACTTTTTGCTTCTTTCAATTAGTTTAATTCTGAATCTGATTAATCAACCTGAGTAAAGTTGATGAGTAATAGAAAAGGTTTCTGACTCTTTCTCCTTGATATAAATTGTTACCTGTTGATATACTTTCATGATAATTACTTTAATTGTCTTCAAGTGTATTTCAAACCTGTTTAATTGACTAATTTTTATTCAATTTCATTTGATTGATATTGTTTTTCTTTCACCATGAGATTGGTTATTATTTATTTTGTGATTCTCAGCTTCTTTGGGTTCACTTTTGTCTCATTGGAGAGTTGGCCTGGGACAGGTAGCAGAGGTTTAGTTGCTCCAGCCGCTGTCGGTCAACATTTACCATCAATGTTACCTGGACAAGCTTCTCCTGGTTCATCAGCTCACTCATCTGCTGGTTCTTTAGCTGGTGCTAAATCTAATCGTATTGGATCTGGAACAACCAGTGGATCAGGTCAAGACGATGACATTTATCCCGCTGATCAGTCTTCAGGAAGTTCAAACGCTACTTCGCAAGCAACTGCAGGATCAAAATCCAAGGCTAATGCTAAATCGTCCACGACTAGTAAATCAACTCCTTCCCCTTTAACCGATGATGCAGCAGACCCCAAGAAAAGTCTCAGCTCGAGCCCAAAAAACGAGCTCGGACCAAAACCAAGTCCATTAGCTGATCCTGATGCTTCCTCTGACATATCCAATTCAACTTCTAATGCCTCTTCAGCCAGTGATAGTGATGTAGACGATGAAGAAGCCTCTGTACCTGCCTCCGAATCTGAAAAATCAAAATCAAAATCAAGTGCCGCGAGTACATCGAAATCTGATAAATCGACCAAGTCAGATAAATCTGAAAAGCTGAGAAACCCGATAAATCAGATAAAACGGAAAAAACGGAAAAACCAGAAAAATCGGAAAAATCCTCCAAGGCTCATCCTGATTCATCTAATAAGACCAAATCTGACGAAGACTCAGAATCGGGTGATGATTTCTTTGACTTGATCGCAGCAGCATCAGCAAACGCCACATCAACAACCACCGAAAGCTCAAAGGCAACAGAAAGCAGCAACTCAACCACTAGTGACGAAAGCGATTTAAAAGGGAAACCAACCGAAGAGAGCGTTACCGAGTCAAAAAACTTGACATCATCATCCTCGTCGCTCTCTTCCTCATCGTCTTCTTCGTCCTCTTCTTCTGCTTCTACTGAGAAACCAACAACAACGGAAAAGCCCGATCCAGATAAAGAAGATTCATGGTCAAAAGTTTTCGCAGGCTCATATTGGACAAAACCTAAGAACAAGACTAAAAACGATAAGCCCTCATCTTCAGCTTCATCATCAGAATCCTCATCTTCTTCCACATCATCAAAAGATGACGATTCCAATAGCACCATGACCCTTGACTTGAGCTCTTTAAAATCAGTCTCACCTAAGTTGAAAGACGATATAAACAACATTGTAGCCAAGGCTTATAACAAATCAGAACATGCAATTACTGGTTTAGTTAAAACAATCAGCCAAACAGTTGTTGATATTTACGCTCGATTAAGCAATAAAAAGGATTGATAATGAAATATTAATTGAAATAAAGTTTCAAATTTGAATCAAATATGAGAAATTGTTTTTTATTTTTGTTCATTTTTTAATAATATCAATTTAATCATTGCAATTGTGACAATGTTATCATATAATAGTATTACGATTAGTTTATTTTGTTATTATTATCAACGGAAGCCGTTTGGTTGTTATTGAATGTTGGCATTGGTTTATCATCATGGTGATAATCATTGCTGACAATCACAGTGCCACGAATTAACTGATGAATATTTTTTCCGAATTCTTGAATCATTGTAGCGAATTGATCAATCTGATCCAGGGAACTTTTTCGGATTGAGACGTATTCTTTATCTGTATTAATATTCGTATTATTAATAGTATTTTGACCGGCGGAACTTGATGAACTTGATGAACCAGAGGTAACGGAGCTCTCAGAGTTAGAGGTTGAAGTATGCTGAGCATCAGATTTAGCTAATAGATTTTTAAAGAGAGAAAAGTTTTGGTAACATCTTAGTTTATGGTAGTGGGCGGGTCAATCAGCTAATTACTACATTATTCCTACGAATGAAAATTAACTAATTATTCAATTAATTGTTTTGTTTTAATTGGGTTAGGTTAGGTCCCAATATTAAGGACCACCCTTGATTAGGAAAGGCCCGGAGGGCCTAAGACAATCAAATCGTAGCTCTCAGTTGCTAAATTGATCAAAAAATTTATTGAATAAGTGTGACAAACAGTCGATTGTCCAGTTCACTACCATAAACTAGGACGTTACCAAAGTTTTTTATTGATTCAATCGGTTCAGTTCAATACTAATTTCTTACCTTGGTGATTATATTTAACTGGATGATAACCAACGGGTGGAGCCGATGTACTAGTGAATCCATGGCCTGAGTGATAAGCTACAGTTGAAGTCTCACCGGGAATAGATTCAGTGACCAGAAGTGGGTCTTGGCCATTGGTTGAGGCTCTATTTTCAACAGGTAGATCTGATGAGACTAAGGTTAACATTAACATCGAGGATGCAAAAAAAGAGATGACCAATGAACTGAGAAATGATTGACCTTTCATCTTGATGATTAAAGAAAACACTAAATTAATGATAAATAAAAATTTCCGTAAAATAATAAGTTAATTTGAACAATTTAACAACTGAATTGAGATAACTTAGAATGAATCAGAACTTACAATTATATCGGATGATCCACAACTAATCTTGAGACCTTTTTAACGTTCTATTTGTTCAAATGGATTAAAGTTAATTAATTTGCATTAATTAGTTAATTTAGATCAACTTTACCAACTAACAAACTTTTTTCTCGCTGAAAATTCAATTATTTACTCAGTGGTAATAATTAGCATCCACATGGTAACTTATATAAGTTGTTGTATTCATTGAAATGAACAGTCATTTAATTGTATTGACTACAAAAGTTAATCTAATTGTTGCTGGAAAAATTTTTCATCTATCTACATTTTGATTGATTAATCTGCCTCAACTATGAAGTTTTTAATTGTTTCTCTTCTGTTAATCAGTTTATTGGGTGTTAGCTTGGTTTCTGGTGCTTCGGACTCCAAAGATGCTACCGAAATAAAGATTTCCTCATCCGGTTCATCTTCCCATGCAGAATCTTCATCGTCATCCTCATCCTCATCAAAGACAAAACAACCTTCAACCAAATCATCTGAATCTAAATCAGGTGAATCTGTACCTAAACCAGAATCAAGTTCTGATGGCGACGATTCAGATGAAGATGATGACAAAGATGATAATAAAAATTCAGCCAAAAGTTCAGCTTCCTCAGTTCATGGAGTTCCAATCATCAAGAAATATGGTGTCATGGCTTCAGGTATTCTCAAGCAATCAGCTAATATGATTAGTAATCTTGCTGATCACTTGGTGGGCATGATGAACGTAATTATAATCTAATTACACTACGATAATTATGGATAATCAATAAGCTTGTAATTGATTCTTATTCATCGATATTAATAAAGATATTATCTAATTTTCAATCTAATATTTATTTGTAACCGGAAAGAAATGCTGATCATTTGAAACTTCAATGACAACGTGTTAAAAAAATTTCCCACGACTGAATTGATTAATTTGAATTTCAATCGTGTGATTAATTATCATGATATTTACCGTCTCTCATGTGACCCTTTGTTTTCAAAGGAATCATTTAAAACATGAACTGAGTTGGCACTTTAATTGTTTTTACCATGAAAAGGTGAGTAAATATCATGATAAAAATTTTGATTATTTGATTTATGAGTAAGTTTGTTGATAAACTTTACTTTTGTCATGTTTATCATATGATTGGTGGTGCTGATGATTCTGGTTCATGATGATCATGAGGTTAGTTTAAAATTAGATTCATAGATATCACTCTGAATATCATGAAATAGTGAAACTTATCTTATCATATGAATCTGAGATTCTGGATGCTGCGTATTACCTGAAGCTTGCAAGGTCGAGGGTTGGGTTTAGGTTATCATCATCATCCATAGATTCATTATAATGGTGGGAAAAGTAAAGAAAGAAAAAGAAAGAGAGTGAGTAAGTGAGTGTGTGAGAGAGAGAAGGTACAATGAGAGTGTGAGCCATGAGCATGGGGAAGATGAGGAAGAGAGAGAGAGAGAAAAGTAACCCACCAAAAAGTATTCTCAGAGATTTTGAAGAAGCTGAGAAGGAGGAATGAACGAATAACTGTAAGAAAAGAGAAGATGAAAAAGAAAGAAAAAGAAATAAAAAAGTAAGTAAGTGATGAGGATGAGAAAGAAAACAAGCTTACTTTCATATTTATCATCATCATCATGATCAAAATCAACCTCATCCCGAACAATATACTTTATGGTGAAATCAAATTCAAGTGATTCAGGTGAAGACAAACAGCAAACAAAAAAATCGTCAACATGATGGAGAGATGATGATCACATGTATTATTATCATCCATTTTAACTAAATCATCTTCATCCTCATCCTCATCCTCATCATCATCATCATTGTTAATATTCATTGTTGTTTATCAATTGGTTCAACTTTTTTTTTCATCATCATCTTGTGTCAATGCAATTGTATTAATATTATCAACACATAGGAATAATTTTCAGCATAAATGATTCAATGGATTCCAATGGATTACCTGTTAATGATAATCATGAAGCCCAAATAAGTTGAACATTGAAAAAAATAGCGAGTGAAGTGCTTGTTAATATTTAATGTGCAAATTGCTTCTCGTTTTATTATTATTATCATCATAATCATCATCACATCATTAGTGTCATCATCATCATCCTCATTAACAACCATTGGAGAAGAGTAGTAATTTATATCAGCCCATGATGAGGATGATTATCTTCATGTGATAGTTACATGTTTTCAAATTGGAATTAATTGTTTTTCTTTCTTCCTTTAATTATAATAATCATTTGATTCATTTGTTTCTTTCCTTCCATAACATTTGTTAAGTTCAATTCTCTCATATTGATTAGCTAATTTTTTAGAATGATGATCAGTTGAATGGTCAGTTTGTTTGGAATTCACAATATATTATATTATATGTGTGAAAATGATTTCGATGGAGATGTGATCATGATGAGAATCGATTGACATTGAATTTTGTTTGGTTTCAGAGAGAAAACCAAAGGAAGACAAAATTATCTTCAGTCTATCTCACTTTTTTCTCTATTTTTACCTGGTAATCACTTTTCTCGGGAGAAAAGGTAAATAAAAAAAACTCCCAGCAGTGAAGAGACAAAGTAAGAGGAAAAGAAAGAGATTTGGGAAATTCTTTTTATTTTCTTAAATTCGAAAAAGATTAAGCAATAATCTCTCAAGGTGAAACATTAACCTCTAAAAACCTCCCAGTTCTCTCACCATTGATGCTAAAGATAGACCATTGAGATTGTACATATAAACACATGTATAAATAAGATAAACGGAGAAGAGAAGAAAAAAATTTTCCTATTCCATTCAGAATCAGAATATTATTCAAACATGAGCTCATCTACACGTCGAACCATTTTTGTTACACTTTTGATTCTATCATGTAATCGGCCACATTTATCATTATCAACTTTATCCACATCATCGTCATCATCTTCTTCTTCATCTTTACCTTCATCGTGGTTTGTAGCTGGAGAAGATTCCGTTTCCGTTTCACCTTTAGTATCACCAGAATCGGAATCTGTTATTCTTTCCGATGGTCCATCATCTTCAGGGTCACTCTCACCATCTCATCCTGGTTCACCTTATGCCTCAGCACAAACAAGTTCAGTGTCACTGCCAAGGTTTCACATCTTAGCGGTCATTCCCAATGAGAAAGCAGTCCTACTATCCCGAGAATTAAGGTCAGCCGTGGCTCGTTGGCAAACCTTACAACGTGAACGGAGTACACAGCACAACTCGGGCTCATCAGGCGGCCCTTCATTTCCGGGTTTCTCTGTTTCCGGAATAGGAACTACAAACCTTTCAGCCGACGATACTTCCCTTATAATATCACCAATACCCGCAGGTAATGATACTGAAAGATTATTGGAATCGATGTGTCAATCATTTGAGATGCACAATCCGTCGCTAATTTTGACCTTATTAGAACCACGTCGAACCTACTATCTTAAAATGATAGCCAAAAAAGTCGATGTACCAATACTTTCACTTTCATCTGAGTACCGGGAATCATTTCAATTATTTCAATCACGACGACCGGTGAGTCCTTTTTTCATTATTATTAAAACGAATAATCAAAAATTCAGTTCACTCAATCAGATAAACTATTCTTGTACAATCACTGAGAATACACAACATGAATTATCATCATCATCATCATCAAGAAGAATAGAACAAAAAGAACATTTATTTTCATCTTTATCTTCATTTTCTTTGTCTTTTTCTTACCTACTCTTAATTAACCTTAATTAACATAACAATCTCATGACAACATCAATAAAAACAACATAAAGTCAATAGAAACACCTTATTCATGGTAAATGAGTTACACTGAAAATCATTATCTCATTATCTTAAATTATCATATCAAATTTACCTCCTTGTGATTATTATGATCATGATGATAATCAGGGTGATGATAAATCAGCTACTTTCAATCTCATCTTTTCACATTTTCAGGAAGAAGAAGAATTTTTTTCGCCATGTAATATTTAGTAAGTAAATGGAAAAGACAAATAATAATATCATCATAATTTAATTCCATGGAAATATCTTACCTCACCATCTTCATCATCATGAATTTCGAGCTATTTAATTCAGAGAAACTTGACCAATGAACTTTTTTCTTTCATCTTTTCCAAAGTAAATGTTGATTCTTGTTTTTTTTCTCCTTTTTTTCAGTACTCAGCATTCTGTCCATTTATCTTAAATTCATGATTAGCATCTTGAAGATTGAGTTGATATTCAATTTGATACAAATTATCTTTGTTCTTATCATGAGTCTGTGTCACCAGGGCTTTGACCATTGGTAGCAAATAAAAGCTCTCTCATTGAATTTTATTCCTGATTTTCTGGGTTGATAATCATCATGATGGAAATTGTTCATTCATTGATCCAGATAATGAGATTGACATTGTTAGATAACTTGGATTCTCTTAGAAATGCAGAACTTGCAATAAATCGGATTGAGTAACATGATGATGATTCTCTGAGAGTTCTGAATGTTTTATCTTAATCATCCTGTTAAATTAGGTTAAAGGTATAATGATGATTTAGCTTCGATTATATCATTTGACTTACAATTAAAGTGTCACAAGCAAACTCACCATCAAAAGTATCTAAGCTGATAAGCTTTAAGGAACTTATATAATTTGGAAAGAAATTTCCTCTTTTTGAATTCAGTTCTGAAAAAAAAGTTCCGATACAGATGAAAATCAGAATTTTTAGAGTTATTCTTTAGATGATATTACCGGAACTTTATTGTTTACTCACGATTCTCATGTAATGTTTGAATTGCCGGAAACGTTTCGATCTGATTGTTTACCTTCATTGAGTTTTTTTCCTTTTGGTGAATCCAATTTCGGATGAATATCAACATTAGCAAATTAGTTAGTTGGTTAGTTTTCATGATCATCATGATATGAAGTTGATACATTTTGTCAGAGCGAAGGTAAATCCAGACGAATAAGAAATTTCGTCTCACAGATAAAGTTCACTCCCAAGGGTGAGTTACCTCAGAACTGACTATCATTCACATGAATATTTCCCTGAATTCAAGGATATTCAATATAAACTCATTTACTATATTGAAATAGTCTCAACATGATGTTACCCATCAGCTTTGATGATCAGTTTCAACTCGTGATGGTGAATAATCAACATTGCGAAAACCTTTCATCATCATTGATAAAATAAACCACAAGATTATTTTGATTATATTCAAGAGACTCCTGAGCTCTGATGAGCTTCATTCAGAGATTGATTCGAGCACATCTCATGAATCAAGCTAATAATTAATGTTATATGATAATTTATAACATCTTATTAACATGATATCTATTAATAATTTGGTTAAGGTAGCTGATCATTACCAACGATTCTGAGATAATATTACAAATGTTTATATTAATAATATTTTCGTGGTGATAATATAATTGTCATGAGTCAATAACTCAAAGGTGGTTTAGTTTTCAATAAGTTGAATCTAAAAGACGAAATTTAATCCTGATTAATAATCAGTTTCAATTGAATGAAACTAGCCAAAGTATTAATATTAATAATAATCAAATCAAAACTGAGGCGAAAAAGTTTATTCATAAGGATGAATCAGGTTACATAGGAAAATGATTTCCAATTGAAAGAAGTTTAATTTTTAACTTGAAACTTTTTTTGTTCTTTAAATAGTATTATTAGAACTGTAGAAAAATAATTGATAACAAGTGAAATAAACAATATGAAGATAGACACAGAGAATATGTATTCTCGAATTCAGAATTGGAGCGAAAAGAACATAAATTAATAAGAAAAGAGAGAGAGAGAGAGACTATTGTTTCCTGTTTTTCGAGTATTGAATCAAAGATTAGCTCGATTCAAGTCTGAGTCTCGAACTCTTGAGTTTATATCTAATGGGCCAACTCCGTTTCAATTTGCTCGACATTTCAATCGATCGTTTTGTAAAGAACTTGAGAGCAAAAAAATTCTACCATATAAATAATCTGATTCAGAATTTATATCTTCATCTCTCTCTCTCTCTCTTTCATATCATCTTCATCTTTTTGACTTATACAAACCTCTTATAATCTTTTCAACTTTACAGTTTAATTTGGCTTAAGAGATGAATAAAATTCATCATATTATATTCATCATCATCCATGATACTCATTATCATTATCCACTCTTTCAAGTGTATATTACACAATCTTGAACTCGTTTCAAGATGAAACATTGACCCAAATTAATTATAGTCAACAATGAATACCTTGTACCTTATCCTAGTCAATAATCACTATGAAAACTCATAATAAATAATCTGTTCATTAACCATTATTTCAAGAATGAGATGATATCAATATAGTTATTATTATTAATAGTAATCATGGTAATCATTTAGCATCATCGTCACCCAAAATATTAGTAATTACTGTTCAAAAATAAACTGAAGATGATGTTGATAATATTAATATTATCATCTTATCATGGAAGATGATGATGATATTAATACATAATGAATATATACTTGAGAAGGGAATGAGATAAATGATAGATACTAAAAATGTTATTATAAGTCAATTATTCTGTTGAATAGAATGTTATCCATATTCGAAAATATCGATTTTTCATCTCTCTCTCTTCTCTATTCCATCACTTCCCTCTCGTTATCTTCCATATCCTTTGCATCCTCATCTCACTCTTCCATGCATCTATTCAATTCCATGTATATTACTATTAATTACAGAATTGAATTGAAACTTATAACCCTGTCAATTATTTCCAGGACACAGGAGCTGTAAAGAAACAGGGGAAAAGGTGGAAATGGGAAATGGGAAGTGGGTTTGGATGAAGGATGTTGATTATTTTCATCATTTTTTTTCTCCGGGTTCAAGTTGATGTATTTCCTTTATCATGAGCATCTTAATTTTAAATTCACTTTCTCTTCCCCATTCAAATTACCAAATGATTTAAGTAAATCAATTTATCAACAATCTTTCATCGTCATTACTATTATTAAATTACAATAAAGGATCAAATTGATATAAGAACTTCTCTCTCTCTCTCTCTCTTTCCATATAATAGTTAAATCTAATTGTTCAGCATCAATCTAATATTCTGTTCATTATTCTAAGTAGATGAGTTAATTGAATTCTGATTGTATCATTTTTATTGATAAAATTGATGAGCTAATTGAGATGACGATAATTTTGAAAAAATTATCGATAACTTGAATGAGAAATTAACTGGAGAGAAGTATGAAATTGTTTCTTCTTCTTCTCTTTCTTCAGAAACATTTATCTTAATCATCATGATGATTACTCTTATTTAATAGCCACGAAAAATGAGATGAGAACAATCAACAATTATGTCTTATTAGAAAGATAATTTTTTTCTAATCGTGGTTACATTTTTCTAACCTATGGCCAGAAAAGATGAGACTCTTCGCAAAAATCGTCATAACTATTGAACAACAATGAATTTTTTTCTTAAATTTTATATTCGAATAGTACAAACATATGATCGTGTCAACAAGAAAAATTTAGTCTCTCAACTTTTTTGACTTCGATTTTATTAAGGTCGAAAATAACCAAACGCTTTACTTGAGTTATATTTATTTTTTTTCTTCAAAATTCTGTATCTTTTCAAAAAAAAGTCCGATATGGATAAAACTAACTTTATTGCAAAGTTCATAAAAAAGTGATCTAAAACTGGTCATTTCAAGTTCTAAAATAAAGCGACGCTGAAGATAATCGAAAAAGAAATTTTAGGTTTTTTCGTTTTTTTGAAAACCTATCTCCTCCATTATAAAATTAGTATGGAGATGAATGGGAAAACACAACTTAAGTAAAGCGTTTGGTTGCTTTCGACCTTAATAAAATCGAAGTCAAAAAAGTTGAGAGACTAAATTTTTCTTGTTGACACGATCATATGTTTGTACTATTCGAATATAAAATTTAAGAAAAAAATTCATTGTTGTTCAATAGTTATGACGATTTTTGCGAAGAGTCTCATCTTTTCTGGCCATAGGTTATTACTCTCCATCTAAATCAATACAATTTTCCTTTTAATTTTGATTGAATTATCTCTTTATGAGCAGTTGATATAATTTTTGTTCTCATCTCATTTTTCGTGGCTGTATATCGCTTTGAATGAACCTCGAAGAAATCTAATTACAAATTAGTAAGCGATAGTAAAAGAGTTACAATTGCTTGTGAGTTTTTTTTTACTTTTTCTTTGCTTCTTATTCTAGCAATTTATTATTAGATTATTATGTACGATTATCACGGTTATTATAAATATAGCGAAACAGAAGATAAAAGTTCTGGTTGATATTATACACCATGTAATGGGTGAGTAAAAAAAACTAAACCTTATACTAGAAGTAGTAGTTCATAAAGTCATGGTAATATTATGCTGATGAAATAATTTGCCTTGTTAACAATTGATCCATCAATTTTTGTCTATTTGTTTAACATTGAATAAGCTTATTGAATATTAATAAGTAATATCTAAGTGCAAGATATACCTAATAATAAGCCTTATGGATG